TCCTTATTCCAGGATATTTTATAATCATTTTTGAAAAATTGCATTTAATTGAGACCCAGAAACTTTGAAAAATTACAATCATAATATTGCGTCCCTAGGCGTGGATACACATCGTTCTGTACATAAACTTAGTGTTCACCACTTTTTATTTGTATCAGCCAGTATTACAGTAATCTTGTTCTAACATGTGTTGCATCAGCATGTATTGCCATGAATAATTAAAAATCTCACATGTATTGTAAGAGCTTGTATCGAGGTAGAATAATTCTGATACAGTAGAATAATGTAGATCTCATTTGTATTGTATCAGTCTGTATAGCAGTAAAATAATATTGATCTCACCTGTATTGCATCAATTCGTAATGCAGTAAGATAATGCAGATCTCACCTGTATTGTGTCGTTATAATGCAATACATGTACAATAAAACAATGTTGGTTATACATTTATTGTTACTGCATTCTGTAAAATGATAAAATATTAACCTCTCTTGTGTCAGCCTGTATTGTAGACATCACCTGTATTGTTTCAACCTGCATTTTACAGTAAAATAATGTTGATCTCACGCATATTGTATCGGCATAAATCAGTACAGTAAAATAGTATAGATCTCACCTGTATTACATCAACTTGTATTTTACAGTAAGAATAATAATGTAGCTCTAGCGTATACTGTATTGGCATTTCTCAATGCTGTACAATAAGGTAGTTCTTACCTGTATTGCTTCAATTTGTATTCTACAGTAAAATAAAGTACATCTCACCTGTATTTCACAGTAAAATAATGTAGATCTCTCCTATATTGCATCGATGTAATGTTCTTGTTCTTGTTTCAGGAAGCAACATCCCTGCACTCCGGACATGTCCATTGATGCTCCGTTGCTCTCTCCAAAATGTTGCCGAGGGTCCCTCTACTGATTGTGCCAGTGCACATCCGGTTGAACGTTCTTCTGTTCTTTCCTGCAAGGATGCCAGATTTTCCGCTTCCTTTTTTTATTCCCAAAAGCATCATCCTCTCCACGGCAGTACTGGCCTCTGCCTCCCTATCTTCCTCCTCAATCAGTTGGCGAGAAAGACATTTCAGGATCTCGACCCTATCTGGTTGAACCGTATTGTCAACTAAGGTGGCCTCACCAGCCAATCTGTCGGCTTTTTCATTTCCCCTAACACCTGCATGGCCAGGGCAGAAAATCCATGTGAGCGATCGTATAGGCGTTGGTTCGATAGCCTGAATCCATTCCGTTCTCAGGAAACCTTTTTCGATCCTTCTGAGGGTACACATGGAATCAGTGATAAGAACAGCATGGGTTGTGTGGGGGCGATCTTGGGTCATCCAATTAAGTGCTTTCGTGATGGCTTCAATTTCCATCCGCATACTTGATGTAGTCCTGCTGCAGGCTCCAGATGCACTGTGTATGGTTTTATTGTTGGCGAATGCAACAAATCCCCATCCACTTCTCTGGCTATCTCTTTTCACTGAACCATCTGTATAAGTTATAGGATCCCCTGCTTTTGAGTTTGTGTCAACAATCTCGTTGATATCGCTCTCGTTGATGGCAGCCGCAACATTTCTTCTGTCTCTGCCCATGCTTATTTTGACCTTGGTGAGGTCCCTGTATTCTCCGGCCACCTGCTCCCATTCTTCGCCTAGTGGTAGGCTCTCAGGTACACAGATTGTTCTCAGGGAATCCTCTGCTTCCGCCATCCAAGATTTTCCTCTCTTGATTCTGACTCTCCTGTTGTCATGAAGTGCTTTGTGAAGTGGATGATCCTTCTTGCCCTTTACATTGAGATACATCTTTGCCTGAGCTATCCTATGGCGTACTCTGATGCCACTTAAACCTAGCAAGTAGCGCATGCACAATATTGGAGTGTCCTTGGTGCAGCCCAGCACTGCTCTCATTGCCTCATTCTGCACTCGATCCAGCTTTGCGATCTGTGTGTCGGACAGCGTGAGACAGCCCAATCCGTAATCAATGACAGACAGGACGACCAGCTGCAACATCAGGAAGAGCACTCTTTGCGGAATCAGAGCAGCCGCCATGGTCTTGATTGCACCAACACCTCGTTTGGCCTTTGTTACCACATGATTCCCATGCTTGTTGAAGGATAACGACCTGTCGAAGACGATTCCCAGATACTTCAGCTCTGACTGTCTGTCGATAATCTCATAGTTGCAAGTGATTGGTGGAGCTATGTCTTGGACAATCCTGTTATTGAGGGAACACCAAAGTACCTGCGCCTTTGAAGGATTGATGACTGTTTCATTTTGGTCGCACCATTTTACAACTGAGTGAAGTCTTTTCTCCATGTTCCTTGCCATCTGAAGTCTGTCATCTCCGTGCTCGTATGCCATTATGTCATCCGCAAAGCTCAGGACACGTCCAGATTCTTTCTGATGCATCGTTACCTGTGCAGTGTGCACATTGAAAAGCACAGGAGAGAGGGGGGATCTTTGGGGCAGTCCTGGAGCAATTGATACGGGATCTGAAGTCCATTCACCCTGTCTCAGGGCCATTTTTCTCTCCACCAGGGCTACTGCTACCCATCTCACCAGCCATTTGTCTACATCAAATTCCAGGAGACGGTCGATCAAACGTTTATAGCTGACTCGGTTGTAAGCATCCTCAAGGTCAAGTGCCGTCACAACTGTTTCCTTCCGCTGCTGAAAGCCTTCATAGATGTCGTACGCCATGACTGCCGCATTCACTGAGGTTTCTCGATGGGGTCTATAGCTGCCAAGCTCATTTGGCAACAGGGACTTCCTCTCTAAGTGTGCTGAGATTCGTCCGGCAATTATCTTTTCCAGAATTTTCCCATAGGTGTTCTGCATGGCTATCATCCTGTAACCACTGAGAGCCGAGTGGTCTTTTCCTGGTTTGGGGATTGGTATCAACCAGCTGTGCAACCATTCTTCAGGGATTTCACCAGTGCCAATGCTTTTGTTGAAGTCTTTTGTTATTCCTTCAATCATCTCATCATCTACCTCTTTCATGTGGCAATATCTTACACCATCCGGCCCTCCAGCACTGTCCTTGGCATGTTTTATCGTTCTGGAAACCTCTTCTGTAGATATCACATCCTCGTAGTTTGCATACATTTCTGGTGTCAGCACTCTAGAAACATCTCTTTCAACTTCCTTTCTTGAGTCAATATTTCCCTGGTGTGTTTGATGGATGAATCGGTTCAAGAAAGCCCTACCTTTCTCCTCATCAGTTTGGAGTGTCTTTCCTGACTCGTCCTTCACATTCACGGTGGTTTTTGAGTGACCCTGTCCACACATCTTCTTTTGCAGTTTCCAGAACGTTGAGAGTGCCTTCTCAGCTGCAATGTTTTTTTACAAACTCTTCCCACTTTGCTGTTTTGGCCAGATGGGCTTCAGCTTTGAACCTATCTCGGGCTTGCCTCATCTTCTCTCTAGCAGCCTCCCTTTCTTCCTCAGTGACAATGGGGTTCTTCCTCTTTCTTTGCCAGTCCTTAACAGCATTCCTCTTCTCTTTCCACAGGCAATCGATTTCATTGCTCCACCATGGTGGCTGCGTAACGTTAGATCTTGAGGGTTTTCTGTTCCAGGCCTTCTTTCTCAGGCCTCCCAAGACCGAGGTGTCTGGTTTGTACTTAAACACCCTCTTGACCTTTTGTCTCACTGTCTTTCCACCCTTTAATATAAGAACTGAGCATGGTAGGTGGTCGCTACCGTGATCTGCCAGTACACTCCATTGTGTAAAAGCTTCGCCACCTGTTTTGATCAGGGCCAGATCTATATTGGAGTCCTGTTCACCAGTTCTTTGAGATAGTCTTGTCATGGTGGAAATGTTGAGCATGTGGAGATCACTTTCAATCAACTTGCTGTCCAAAGCCTTTCCCTGACCATTTTCGTTGACATTACCCCAGGCCGAGCTTCTGGCATTGAAGTCCCCAACGATCAGGACAACATCTCCAAGATCGCACAGCTCATGGAGAAACTCCCAGTCATCTTCCTTGACAAATTTTCCACCTCCGGCATAGAGATTGACAATGACCCATGACCTGTTGCGGATCGTTAGCTCGATTGCTTGTAGCTCCCTGTCCTCCTTGCCCCAAGCAGAGACGTCTCTTACACGGTGCTGGATACCATTTCTAACAAGTGTGGCCAGTCCATGATGAGTCCGGCTCATTGGGTTGATGTACGACGTATACCCAGGACATGACAAGGTTTTAGCATTGGTCTCCTGCAGAAAAAAGAGGTCAAAGTCATAGGCGAGCTTTTCCAGCTCTCTTCCTCTTTTCTTACCACTGCGGCAATTCCAATAGCCAATGCAGACGTTTTTCATTTTGAGCCTGTCTGTTTTTCCCTGATTCCTCCTTTTCCCTGCCCTTCTTTTTCTGGCTCCTCCTCTCCTTCCTCTCCTCCTTCCCTCTCATCCCCTCAGTCCTCAGCAACGATTCTGGAGAAAGCGTCGCCAAAGGAGCACGTTCTCCGTCGCTCCTGCGCCGTTTCCCTTTTAGATTTTTAAAATTTTTATTACTCATGTTTGGTTTTTTTAAGGTAGGGAAGAAAACTGTCACCCTGGCAGAGCCCTATACCAGGGAAGGGACAGGGGATGTCTTTACAGAGTCCATACGCCTCCGTCCCTCTCGCTTACCAGACGCCCACGTTAGCGACTACTGAGTCCTGTAGCCATTCATCCCATTAGCACGTAGGTACACCGTAAGATTAGGATTTGTAAGGCTGATTGACCCACAGTCTTGCGTCCCTTTGGCAGACGGTGAGCCGCAGGACTGGTGTTTTTTTTATCGAGGTCTTGCTCCTCTAGATCCGTTGTGTTCGGTTCCTGAACCGCATGGTTTAGGTTAGCAGGTGACACCTCGGGAAGGATGTGGCTTTTCGCTCACGCACAACGGTCTTGAGCAGTATAGAGGTTTGCCAGATCAAAGTGGACTAACAGCTCGAGATGCACGCCACTACCACTAGATAAATCTAGTGGGACCTGGAGGAGCGCGGGGGAGCAGCAGGTGTGCTCACTGCCCACAATCCTTAACGTGTTCTGCCCCTGGGCAGCAGCCCTCGATCCAGCCTCCCTTATCCGTGACAGTGTCACAGACGACGTTTATACCGTTGTAGAGACGGATCACTGGTCGGGGGCCCAATCCCTGCACGTCAGCACACGATGTAATGAAATACAGCAAAATAAGGCTTATCTAACCTGTATAACGATCCAGCCTCCCTTATCCGTGACAGTGTCACAGACGACGTTTATACCGTTGTAGAGACGGATCACTGGTCGGGGGCCCAATCCCTGCACGTCAGCACACGACTGGCCCTGGAGAGAAATCCACAGGGAAAGAGTTTGATGAACGGTTGTGGGAATTGGCGAGGTGAAATCAGAGAGAGAGAGAGAGAGAGAGAGAGAGAGAGAGAGAGAGAGAGAGAGAGAGAGAGAGAGAGAGAGAGAGCGAGAGAGAGAGAGCGAGAGAGAGAGAGCGAGCGAGAGAGAGAGAGAGAGAGAGAGAGAGAGAGAGAGAGAGAGAGAGAGAGAGAGAGAGAGAGAGAGAGAGAGAGAGAGAGAGAGAGAGAGAAGCTTCATTTATTTTTAGTATTAGTAAGAATTTTATAGCACTTGAATTATAAGTAATGCCGAAGATTAGAGAAGTTACTTGAGAGTGACATACAAAGAAAAGAAAGGAGGAGAGAACGATATATCTTTGTGAGAGCGAAAAGAGCAACCCTCACCTGAGCATGTCCTACCAACCACTTACGAGTGCAAGTCTCAGTGAAGTATTACCTCAAATGTCAGGCAGATAGTCGACCCCCCTACTTACCACTCCGTTAATTTCCTTGTTCACCACTCGGTCATTTTCCCATTTCATCACTCGGTCATTTTCCCATTTCATCATTCAGTTTATTTCCCACATCACCCAGTCAATCTCACAGTCTATTACTTGGCCAATTTCTTAGTTTTTCGATCACTTGGTAAATTTCCCAGTTTATGCTCGGTCAATCTACCAATTCATTATTTGGTCACTTAACCAGTTTATCTTTCGTCAATGTCCCAGTTTGTCACTCGACCAATTTTTCAGTTCATCACCCATTCAGTCACTGAGCTTTTTACTGGGTAAATGCACCAATAAATCGACCGACCATACAGTTTCAAATATAGATTTTCAAAACACTTTCTATCATGCCCTGGGTGGGAAATACCAACTTATATCAGACTCCCATAGAGCTCGGAAAAGCACCTAAAACAAGTCTTTTACCGAAAGCAGAAAATAAGATTAGAATTCAAATATTATTTCCCTGGTGAACTTAATTGTTTAATGACTGACTATAAACCCGCCCCCTCCAAACACACACTTTTCCGCCTACTGTTACACCGTAACCACACCCCTCCCTCCATCCCCCCCCCAAGTTTAGAACTGTACGAAACTGATCAGACTCGAGGAAAAATTATTGTTTATCTGAAAGTTTTATTTCCTGACATGATTAAAGGTGGACAATTAATTAATTTGTTCCCTGTTCAAGCAAAATATATCCCAGGGCCGTTTGTGACCCACAGATTTGTTTTTGGATACAATAATTACTTGGGTCTGTCCTAAAATAATAACCATTGGTAATTATGTATTGTTTTATTCTAGAAAAAAATTAAGAGATTTCTATCTCGGCTGTCCAAAAGGCATGGCCCATGCATAATATAGTAGAAAATTAAGAAAACCCCCCCAACAAAACAAACTACAACCCACTTACTAAACAAGGAATAATTAGTTTTGTTTAAAACCTCTAAACACCAGTGTCGTCTCCCTAATTATGCTCCACCCCCCCCCCCTCACACACACACACCTACGACCTTTCGGTTGCAATTCTAACAGCCTAACCACAAGACCGATGACACCACTTATTGAACTATAACTCCCGGAAAAATATTTCCTTGGCAATATTGGGGAGCAAATACAGTGGAAACTGTCTAAGACGGTCACCCATGGTTGAAGAGAAATGTCCTTGTCTCAGGCCACGCTCATAAGATAAAGCCATTTGAGTAAATGAGGGGGAAAATAGTTTCTTTCGAACAACTGACTCTTTCAAACGCTTGGATTTTGGTACATTCAGTTGATTTTATATTTGGATAATTCTTTAGTCCAAGTGAACAATTTTTACTAAGCCGGATCTGCTCTTTATTTCAGAATTAAAAAACTCCAAACAGGCCAAATATGAGAGGTTATTATATTATAAGCGTGACACTTAGATAGACGAACATCGTGGACAGTGTCATAATAATATAGAATCTAGAAGAAATGCAAGAGGAAGGGGGTTGGGGTTGGGGAGAGGGAAGTAGTTGTTTGTACTGGCCATTGCCGTAGACAGGTGTCCGTAAGAGCAGGCTCAACTGCACTTTGAGAGAGAATATCACCTGTAGCTGGCTCTTCAACTTGTTCTCCAGAGCCTTCACAGTCGCCTTCGTTTCCTCCAGGATGTCTTGTTTCTGTGAGAGCATTCGACGAAGGCCCTCTCCTTTTCTCTCCTCTACCATTGCTTTCAAGGTTTTGAGCATGTCTTGTTTTTGCTCCAGACACTCTCTCTTGCTCTCCTCCAGGTTATAGCTCAATACCTGTTACATAACAGCATGTTAAAAGGTTATAAAGTCGTTTGTGCAACAAGACATTCTCCTAGTAAACAAAAAGGTTATTAAAAGTTATAAACATCAGCAGGTGTTCTTACCACTTGGCATTCTCACTGCAAACAAAGTAAACGACACCGCAACAGTATTGACCAATGATAATATCGTTACCCCCCCCCCCCAACAACCATCTATTATTCTATCAAGTAGGCTGCAGAACGCTTTTAAGAATTCTTCAAAGATAATCATAGATCAGCCCACTTTATCAAAATAACACGAACATTCTTGGAACACTTTTCTTTACACCGAAGAGCAGTGTATTTCTGTCTTAATTTTAAATAAGCTATACCTGGGTAAATGTTTACTCGTGAGACAGGGAAAAGAATACTTTGAGTCTTGAGAGAGATTCTCACCTGTTGCTGCTTTTTCAACTTGTTTTCGAAACTCGCCTCAAGCGCTTCTACAGTCGTCGTCAGATTTTCCAAAATGACCTGTCTCTGTAAGCGCAGGCGGTAAAGACCATCTATTTTGTACTTTTCCACCGTTTGGGTCAGGATATCTATCTCCCTTTTACTTGTGATAAAAACTGAAAGGCTTTTATGCCAAGAGACATTTTCTAGGAAAGTATAGCCGATGACATCACAGCGGTATTGGCCCATAGTGTTGTTGGTCGCCACACGCCATGTCAGGTGCAGAAAGCTGTCAGTGGCAGAGGTTACACTACCCTCAGCTAAGACATTTTCGGGTTTTTGTCTGATTTCTGTTTCTCCACCGCGAAGTTCTGCCACTCTGTTCCACTCATCATGACCCCATTTCAGTATTCTAATAGCCAGAATTTCAGAAATTACGTTTTGGGGATAACGGGTGGAGCATTTCAGTGACACATTGGCCGTTTTCCCTATTTCGACCTCTGGTATTGTTACCTCCAGGACAGAGGCATGGGAGGATAGTAACAGTGCGGCTGCCAGAATGAGCTTCGCTAGTATCCACAGAAGGTCCATTCTTCTTGTGCAGTGCTTTACTTTGATCGAAATGTCTTTAGAAAGCTTTACCAGGATATCTACATGAAAAATTGAGAAAGGGCATCCAGTTAAGAAAATATGATGCGAACAATAAACACTTTAGAACAAATTTTAACAGAATCAAAAACCATTCTGCCATAACTTCCCAAATATGTCTGAAGGAATATTATCTGCTCCCAGTCATGTCATCAAAAGTTCAGAAAGACAGCTCTTCTCCATTCTGTTATTCTAGGGATTCTTCAGTGAACAACAAATAATAACCCATCTTGTCTAATGGGAATCTCTTTATAGTCGCCATCAGCGGATTACACCAACGTCCATCACTTTATACTTATTAAAGCGTGATTCAGCCTTTAAAGTAAAGTTACGATTAATTGTTAGATATTAACGGAAAACTTCAAGATGTTCAAATCTGCTCTCATACGCTACCACGTCTATGAGATATTATAAAGCGTAACAAAAGCCAGAAATTCCAATAATTAAAGTGACCGCCGTGTGACAATGCTTTCGTGTGGTTAGAAGTACAGTTGGAGCTTTGGAAATAAATACTCTTCGTCTAAAAGACTCTAGGCACACATCTAGAGAAGAAGAAGAAGAAGAAGAAGAAGAAGAAGAAGAAGAAGAAGAAGAAGAAG